AGAGACCAGATCTGAATGTACAACTGGCCTTTTGGACATAGTGGAAAGAATCACGTGACCTCTTGACATTCGTGATGTCCTCCTTCTCTCACAGAGCCTCAAACTTCTCGTATTTTAGATCTGTGATGGAATTGATGCTGTTTCAGTTTTCTATTTTTGAACCTACTTCCAACTGTTCTGATTGCCCTGCATTTCGGAAAGACTCGAACATACAAAGAAAAGTTTCCCTTTTTTAATGGTACAGTTTTCTTGTACGCAGCTCTGTGGGTTACGGTTTAGCAAAATGCAACCTGCAGATTTTTCCTGTCGTTTTCAGAAATCGCATACTTCACGATAATCGCATTCTGCTCAGATGTGTAAGAAAATTCACAGAGCACAAAAGCAGAAGGTCTTTTTAAAGCCAGGGCCGAGCAGTGTTCACATCTTTCAGCACCCTGTAATCCAGTCTTCGCACAGAGTAAAACCAGCCCAATAAATCTGCTAAGGCCAGCTGCACAGGTATGCGTGCACACTGATAAATACCATTCATTTTTAAATGAGCCCCCATGCACTAAACAAACACCTTCAATGCACCTATGTTGCAGCATACCACAGTGCAGTGGGGCTGAATGTGTCGGCAAAAATAGTGCAGGTCTGATTTTAGACGCATAGTGTGTTGGAATCCCATGACCTAACCTGTGTTAACACGGAGTATCGGACTACATGTGTAAAGGGGTCTCATAATGCAGTTATGGACAGTTATGGGTACTTGCCTTTTGGTTTGCCACCTGATCAGAAGCTGAAGGCTTGCTATGGCTATGCCACACTAGAAGTAAAGAGGTCCAGATGCTTATTTGTAATAATTACTGTACAGATGAGTAATCTGCTCTATAGATTATCATAGAGGTGTTCAGTACCCTTATTAATGTCTTTATATTACAGGATAAGCACAATTTTTGGGCAGTTACCCATTTCAGCACATCTACACCCTTCTCCAGCACTTTTATTAAAAGAGAACTAAAGTCAAACCTTTTTTTTTTGCTTTAGTTCTCTTTTGGGTCACAGGACATTTACTAATGTCCTCCTGTGACCCAAACTCAGCATATAGCTGGCTACTACCTGCTGTATGCTGACAACACTGAACCACACTGCTGCCCTGAAAGATCACAACAATATTGTCGGGATCCATCCCGCTGCCTGATTGACAGCTGGCTCCGCCTCTCTAGAGCCAAAGCCAGCTTTGCCTGCCTCCTCCCCTGTCTGTCCCTCCAGTCAGTGCTGGAGGAACAGAGAGAGGGGAGGGGGAATCTCTGTGGAGGGAAGTGACCTGACATTCGCCGCTCTCTGCAGGGGAAAGCCCATCAGCTGAGCGATCAGCAGATCGTGATCACTCAGTTCTCAAACTATAGAGCCACCATGTGAGACCTGCAGTGTCACATGCCAGCTCTAAGTATTGGGAAGAGTAGAATTTACTCTCCCAATGCTTCTCCTTTAAGAATCATACTTGCCTTCAACTCTGCTCCTTCGAGGTTTTCACTGTGCGGCTTGCCCAACACCACACAATCTATGCCCAATATCTTCACAATTGTTCACTCTGGTGTCCACACATGCACACCACGGCTTTCATACATTTCATTGGAAAACCCACCCATCGGCCTGTCGGTTAGTTTTGAATGCTAGAGGGAAACAGCTGCAACATTTATTTTAAAGCGGACCTTTACCCATATCTTTAAAACAACAACCAACACACCTTTAGAAATGTTTAGTAATGACAGTCTACAAACACATACTTCGAGATAATTGCAGACTATGTATTCTTTGCATATCTTGTTTCTATTTTCTTTCCCAGTCTTCTGGCAGTGGCCATGTTAACTAAGGGCAGGTTACTAGATCTCCCTTTACTTCCTGGAACTCTGGCACATGTGACCATGCACATCTCAGGGGAAAATGCCTTTCCCTGAGATCTGGTGAGATTTCCCAGCAATGCTCTGCTGGTGTAACCTTCCCAGGATGCAGCGCCTGGGCACAATATATCATTTGTGCAATAAGTGGACCAGGAAATAGATGAACTCTATTTTGTATGTAAATGTAAAACATGTTTGTTTAAAGGAGAACTATGGGGTTAGGGCTTTTCCCCATAGTTCTCCTTAGGGTAACGGGAGGACACAAACTAGCGTCCTCCCGTCACCCTAAGCTCAGTACTCGCGGTATACTGAGACGCCGCAGCTGAAGCGGATCCCGACAATTATGTCTGTATCCGCCCAGCTGCGTGAGTGACAGCTGGCTCTGCCTATCTAGAGGCAGAGCCAGCTGTACCCTCCCCCGTCCAATCCGCCAGTCAGCGCTGGCGGATCGGAGCGGGGAGGGGGGAATCCAGCAGAAAGCCGTGACAGGATCGAGAGGTGAGCGAATGCCGCTATGTGTTCGCTCACCTCCTGATCTACTGAGCCGACCTGTGACAGTCTCATTGTCACAGGTCGGCTAGAACTATGAGGTGAGTGAAAAGCACTCTCCTTATAGTTCTCCTTTTTAAGTAATGGATGTAAGATGATTTTAAATCAGCATGCAGAGCTGTATGCTGCTGTGATTTTTAGTAAAAGGGGGTAAAGGTCCACTCTTAGGTCTCGTTCACACCTAGGCGTATTGCATATGCGCGTCTGTCGCGCGTTTCCGAAGGCTACTTGGCTGTATCCCAATGGAAACGCGCTACAAAACGGCCCAAAGTAGTACCTGTACCTTTTCAGGCGTGGGCCGTTTTGTAGCGCGTTAGGGACGGGCGGAAATACGCCAAGGTGGGAACGAGACCATTGAATACAATGGGATTTATATTTTTGAGCGTTTTGTAGAGCGTT